ATTTCGTTAAGACCAAGATCCTTCAACGGCTGTGCTGGATTAACGGATGAGTCAGTAATGTGTGGATTTGAATCAGGAACATCACATTGAGTTCTGCTCAGACCCTGCATGACAGGAAAATCCTCCACGGCTAGACAGGAAGAAACATCAGCCACTTTAGTGTTACGGCGAAGCGACACTGATATTGGGTTTGGGTTCACTATCTTCATTGGCACCCATCGATCACCCCACATCGGTGTTACTACGCGTCCGACAAGAATGTTTTTAGGAGCTGAACGTGCCGTGGTTGGCTCAACAATTACAGTACTTCCTGGGGAAACAGGTACATTAGCTGGCAATTTGCCCCAAACAAGATACTCACATTTGGGAAGCAGAGTTATTGCCTGACGGAGTTTTACAGTCCCAAGTTTATCAGGTTGTTGAGGCCCAGACCATCGGGAGATGCAGCTCAGAAGCTCAAGGAATTGCTCACACTCAGGATTACTGTTCTTGCAGGAAACAAGCTCCCAGTACTTGTCATGCGATTTCATCTTCTGCACGACACATTTGATCACATTACTTCCTATTATGAACTCATCTCTTTGTCCAGGCACCACAAGGGTGGGAACGACAAACTTGAATCCATAGACTTCAATCTCCAAGTCGTATGAACACTTCGGCTGAATCGTAAGGCCACCACAGCCAACCAGGACCACATTACCCGCAACAGTTTGAGGATACGGAAGAAGACCATCAGCTTGCAGCTTGGACTCACCCTCTTCACTAAGCGTGCAGGCCATACTACCAGAATCCAGCAACCCCTTTAATGTGCACCGGTCACAGACTGTCACAGGAGCATAAAACAACTCACTTGCCCCATCAACTCTCTGAGACCCCACATATAACACGGTTTTGTCTTCTGGAAATAGTTTGCAACTGTTAGCAAAAACATTTTGCACATCTTCTGTGAGGGAGGTTTTACTTAAATTGCCCATGCTACCCCTCTCATCGCATGGGCTCTTCAGTTTAACTGAGCAGTATCTGAGGGAGATGCAAGGCATGCTGCTTTAGGACAGTCACTCTTAAAGTGGCCAGGACTGAAACAGAGACGACACAGCCTTTGGCGTCTACAATGTTCATACGTTGTGTGTTCCTTGGATCTACAGACCCTACATGCAGTGCTCAAGTTGGTTTTGAAATCTGGAGTCTTGCCTGGGTGAACCTGACTGGGTGAAGTTAAAGAGGCAGTGCACAAAGACAGGACTCGATCCATCATGCCAACAATGTGCTGAAGGCTGGTATCTGGAGAGAAGGGAACAGCATATGGATTAAGAGGACTCACCGGAGTCAGTGACTGGGCTGGCATAGAAACTGGCTGCTGAGGAGAACTGGTCATGGAAACAGGCTGAGGAAGAGAACTAGGCACATTATTGGGCCTGCCATAACAGTGCACTGGTTGCTAGCTGACAAGGACATTGCGTGCTGCTTCCTTGAGGAGACTCTCTTTAGATCCCTCTGATGACTATCCAAGCGCTCCTGGACCTCAGCAGCGCTCCACTTCTCTGCTGGCTTAAACTGAAAAGACAAAGCAAGACTCGGGTCCGGGCAATGAGAAATAAACATCATGACTGCTTCAGCAGCGGGATCCTCAACACTCTTATTGTGTCTGCGCAAGCACTCATCAGCAACATCTATGGACTTGTTAAGCCGTATCCAGTAATCCATGGGACTTTCATCTGCTCTAGGGACGGTGTTATAGAAGTCAGCCATGGGCATGTTAGAGTAAGACAACTCACTGAAGTTGCGTTTCAGTATGTCAAACACTGCACTTGGGAACTTACTGGCACTCAGTTCGGGGCGGCTTCGCAGGGACACTTTAACCACATCTCTCGCTTTGCCAGCCAATCTGCTCAGGATGAGATCAGAGACATCAGTTTGCGTTCGGCATTTCATTCTGTTCAAATAACTGTACATCATATCTTCCCACTCGTGCACAGTAAATGAATCACTCTTATCTCCCCTGAAGAATGGTGGTGGTGGTGCATCTTGCTGTACTATCACTTTGAGGCTAGATTTATCAATGCCATCACTTGAATGCTGAGAATGACAGGGTGGATTAGACTGTACTGGGCTGGGCTGGTGCGCAAGGTTAAGGCTGGCTGAAATACTCTCTCCTATTTTCTGAGCCAGATCTGAAATGATACCCCCTAACGACTCAGGAGTAACAACACGATCAAAGTCAGGTTGTATGATTGGGGTGGAGCTAGCAGCTGGACCTACAGAAAAACCAATTGCTGAATCGGTTGTGTGCACACGGTCAAGTCCCAAATTAGCTAATGCTCTCCCTCTCCCATAGCAACGTGTAAATTCAGACACACCCTCATTTTCATAAATTTCAGGCCCATGACCTCTTCCCAGTGGAAAAGTGACATTAGAATTTTTCACAGGACTAAAATCATCTTTGCTAGGACCCTCAGACATGTTTCAATTTGTGAAATGAAACAGGAAAGGAAAAAAAAAATATGCAAAAATAAGAGCAAATTATCTGCACAAGAGCAAAACCTCAACTGTTGAACAGTTCAAATATGCAGAGAAATACTAGATATCAAATGTTTTAACTGTTCACTTTCAAAATTCACAGTGAAAATAAAATATATACTTCATCAAAATCAATTGTACACTTTATCTTGTTTAAAATTCCTCACAGTCATTTATTATAGTGTATAGATAAAGGATACGATGCATGACGTAAACTGAAGCGTCCCGCAGTGCTTTTCACAGTCTCCGTCGTTCAATATACAACGACCAACGAAAGCGCTCCAGAGAAAGAAGGGGAAAAAAAAGTTTCAGGAGTCAACAACCGTTTACCGTTCCTTTAAGACGCAACAGTTCGTCCCGCGATGTCGCACACTGTTCGTCTCACACACGCGCCCTCCTCGTGCGCGAGCTGGAGCCTCCACGAGCAATGGCGATGAGGAAGAAGTTCGGCGAGGAAGATCGGCGAAGCGTGCGAGCCGTCACGCAACCACGGCGATCGGCGAAGCGCTGATCTGATGATCCGAAATGATCACGGCACCAAGTGTAACTGGTCTCTTTTCTGCGTTGTGTTTTTCATTCACGTGGGAAGAACAGGACAGGACTCACTCAGCAGTTTCAGCGATCGTTTATTCTGATGCACAAATAAAATGTAATCAGCCTCTTAGTGAGAATCGCCCTCTCTAGCTCTCTCACTGCATCACCAGTGCAAAGAGGAAGAATCACAATAAAATGCATATAAAACATAAACGTATAACAGAAGACATACCTGATGCACAAATAAAATGTAATCAGCCTCTTAGTGAGAATCGCCCTCTCTAGCTCTATAAAACAAATGTGATGTACACTTGTCACACGTGCTCTCATTTCACATTTAGGCCCAGATGTTAAAACATCACTTAATCGGGACAAAATTACGGAAATAGCCACACAGATAAGTAAAATAACATTATACACAGGAATTAGATTGAAAATTTAGACATAAAAACAACAATTAAGATTACGATTAAAGATGATTATCAGGAGCCTAAAATAACCTCACCTCTCACTGCATCACCAGTGCAAAGAGGAAGAGGAGGAGACAGAACAGGAAATTATATTGACTCATGACATCACATCAATTAAAGGGAAAGATACTCGACTCCACTTAGGCAGTAATATCAGGTATATGTCAACAAACAATTTTGTGGGAATTCTAATAAACTATAAATACATTTAACAGTACACTTTATGTACCTGTTACACTTGTCACTCTTCTAACTGGTTGTTGTGCAATCATAAAACACAAGTTATGCACCGGCTTTTATACTACTAAGGGGCACCCATAAATTCAGCATTTGACGCAAGGATGCTCGTCCATTTCCGGTTGTGGAGATTAAAGCGGAGGAAAGTCTTCAAAATTTACTGTCCTCCCGTCATTGAAACGAAACGTTCATACGTTTAGATGTAATTTTATATATAGTTTTGTTTATTTAATATACTTTTAAAAAGAAGCATAAACACAACGAGGGGTGTCTGTTTTATCTGTTTTTGTGACTAACGTTCCTTTAGTATAACCATCGAGTATAAAATTCAATATAAATTCTCGGTATTGCATTGGACTCTACGATCGGCGGAAGTTTTCGAGCATCCTTACACCTTCACCGGAAATACTGCCGTACATAGAGCCCATTCACAAATTAACTGAGTCAGAACATCTCACGCTCACGCTTCTTAAATCGCAGCGCTGACTCAACCCACCCGTTTTACCCCATAAACGCTGGTATCAAAGATACATTATCTCTTACAAACAATAAACAGTTTTAAAACTGCTTTTAACATTTTTATTATAACTTTTGTTTTTTAATGTAATTCAACCTTTTTTAACCACACTATGCCATGATCAAACGAGGAGGTGCAGACTCTGCTTTGGTGGCCAAAGAGAGGATCCTGCAAGAGATTGATAGCGGGGTTGGTAACCTTGCTGAAATCACACAGTGTATGCCTGGCTAAACCCAGAATAAAAGCAGTGGAGCGAAAGTTAACATAGCACTAAACTCTGCTAACCAGCTTTAAAAAAAAAAACAAAAAAAACAGACCTAGCTCAAACTAATCTCAAATTTACCTGGGTAGCAATTGAAATTGGCTTGATGCAACAAGGCCAATGGTGATTCAGAAAATAAATGTTTTGCATTAACCTAGCATGATACAAATCGAAATTGCACACCAGTAAATGTTGGTAAACAAGTTTGTCTTTTAAATCTTTTATATTATACACACTTGCAACTTACTCATTTGATGGCATTTTAATCCATCTGTAAATTAAGAAACTTTATTGCAACTTTATTTAGCAATTTGTTTATTGTTTAACATTTTACAGCGTCTTATTTTCGAACTTCTGACTCCACAACCAGAACAAAATATAGAGAACATAAGTAAATAATTAAATGCCATTACTAATCTCATTCAAGCAGATTAAGCAAAGTAATTAAGAATAGTAGAAATAATTAGACATTGTAAAAAAAAATTCTGACACTTCAAACAACACTTTAGTTCCTTAAACTATAGCTTAGGTCTCTAAGCGTTTCACCAAAATCACAAAGTAGAACTAGATGATATTTTGCTTTTAGGAACAACACCATATTTAGTTAATGTCACACAATTTACTTTAATGTATTTGACATGATAATGAAGTTGCTCATTGTGACAACTTCATACAGCATATTTTCATGTGAGTCAGAAGGCTTCTTTTATATCTAAAACTCTTCTTACATCGAGTACAGTACGGCTTCTCTGCAGTATGAGCTCGCTCGTGTATTTTCAGGTTTCCAGAATGAGTGAAACTCTTGTCACAGTATGAGCACTTGAAATATCTTCTCCCAGAATGAATTTTTTGGTGATTTTTCAGATTGTCAGTTCTAGTAAAGCTCTTCCCACAGTCACAACACACATGATCCTTCTCACCAGTGTGTTTTTTCTGGTGTCTTTTACAATGATCCAGTCGTGCAAAAAACTCACCACAATATGAACATGGATAATAAGACTTCTCCTTTAAGTGAATTTTCAGGTGTTCTTTTAGAATTGGTACTGATTTAAAATCTTTACCACACTGATCACAGTTATATGGCTTTTCGCCAGTGTGAACGCGCAGATGATACTTGAGATCAGTTTTACTTCTGAAACTCTTCTCACACTGAGTACAGGCGTACGGCTTCTCTCCAGTATGAACTCGCTCATGTGGTTTCAGAGCTCCAGCCTGAGTGAAACTCTTGTCACAGTATGAGCACTTGAAAGGTTTTTCTCCAGTATGAATTCTTTGGTGCTGTTTCAGACCGACACTTCTAGTAAAGCTCTTCCCACAGTCAAAGCACACATGATCTCTCACTTCATTGTGTGTTTTCTGCTGCTGTTTGGAATTTTTCTTCAATGAAAAACTCTGAGTTTTGATGTTGCAATGTTCCTCTTCAACTTCATATAGATTTTCACTTTCATCTTTCACTTCCATCAGGCCTAAAATAAAGTAATTGGAATCAGTTCAAGGAGGCATTGTCAAAATTTAAGTGAACCCTGATTTAATACAAGGAAACAAGAAATCAGGTATACTATTGACTATTGTAATATATAGACTATTGTAATGCTCATTCTTAAACATCTGCAACTTATCCAGAATGCTACAGCTAGAGTTGTTTTAATGACCCGAAGAGAGCATGTTATCAGTCTCCTCACAAAATTTCACTGGGTGCCAATTACTCCAGACTTGCATGCTATCTAGAAGCTTGCATTCTGCATGGTGCCATCTAAAGAGGTACAAAATCCCTTTAATGGACTTTTACCTGGACTGTTCCCTGTTGGTGGAATGATCTGCCTAAGTCCGTAGCCATTTTCAAGAAATGGTCATTAATCCATTAATAAGCTAATAAAATTAGCAAAAAAACATCTATTATACATATTAGCAAAAAAATTGTGTTAGACTAAACTAGGAAGGGTCACAACACTTGCATAATGTTCTCCTATTCTTAGTTTTATTGATTCCATTGCGCTCCTCATTTGTAAGTCGCTTTGGATAAAACAAGCATAAAGTAGTTTATGATCAATATGTTGCATTCTCTCTACATTTACATTTATTAATTTAGCAGACGCTTTTATCCAAAGCGACTTACAGATGAGAACAATAGAAGCCATTAAACTAACAATAGGACAACAATATGCAAGTGGTATATATAATAAAAAATAGAAGAGAAAGTGTTAGGATTACTAGATCAAGTGCTGCCGAAAAAGGTGCCTTGTTTAGTTTCTTGAAAGTGGCTACGGTATCAGAAACTCTGGTTGAGTTAGGCAGATCATTCCACCAGCAGGGAACAGGTCAGAGAAAGAGATTTTGTGCTTTGAGATTCATGATTTTCCTCTATTTCCGAGCTAGAAAATCTGTTAAATTAAAGCTTTGTTACAGCAGTAAACAATCAAGAACAAATACTGGACACCAACCTGTTTGTTCCTCAACATCCTCATGTTTTATTCGGGATGGTTCTGAATTACTCATGTCTTCAATCTCTTCTGTAATAAATTCAGGGCTTAAAGTTCGTTCATCACAGCCTCTCGATTAATTAATATCAATTTGAACTGACCTGTTTCATTAAAGACGAAGGCGGTGATTAGCCTAAACTCCAACACCTGACTTGAATGAGCCGAACAAATTCGAGGCTAAAGCGGTTTCATAAAAGGTCACTGAAGTTCACGCAATCCCACTAATTTGATTCAGGTTTATCTAGTCTAGATAATTGCGTTATCACGCGTTTCTTAAGCAGGTCATTTTTTTGACCATGGATCAAACCGATCCACCTCAGCAAACCGCATATTTTGTGCTGTTTTTAGCCGTTTGAGACATATATTTTTTTCCCCCACAGGTTGTCAATCTGTAAATGTGGAAACTAGTCTCAAAAACTTTTTCATTTTGCTGCTACATTTTTGAACGAGCGCTGATATGCGCAGGCACGACAAATTGGAGCACAATAATTCTAACTAAAATGTCAATTTTACTTAAAAATGAATATGCACTATTTTTAACACCATGCATGAATATCTAACTATACTAATTCATCAATACGATGTTGGATAAGCTGTGGTGAACGTATAGCTCATTACTTGGAAAATAAGAATAGGGTAATACAAATATCAACCAAATATAACAAGATACAAAATATAGTTTTGGGGTAAAGGACTAAAAGCTAAGGACTAAGTAAAACCTAATAACTAATAAAGGGTTTACAATACTGAGAATTACAGAATTTTCTTTTATTCTTTGGAGAAAGCAAGAATAAATGATGTAGATTTAGTTTCTTAAACACTATGGAAATGATAGCATGAAATTGAGAGCAAATGTATTCATTTTGAAAAGATGTGTGCATCTCTAAAATCAAAGAATATTTAAAACAAATAAAATACCATTTTGTATGTAACCCCCCCCCCCATTATAGTTATTAAATATTTTATTTATTTACTTATTCAATATTATTATTATTTGATATTTAAATAATATTACTTGAATTACTATGTCTCATTATAAGAGAGTTTGATATACAAATTATGAATTTTCAATGCTTAATTAATATTTATTTATCTTTTTTTTTCTTATTTATTTGTATAAGGAAATATATTTGGTTTTCTCCAGAGAATTTAATCTCCATTTATAAGACATTTTCATGGCTCTTTCTTCTGCGCATCCTCTATTTGTTCTTTTGGATTTACAGGGCGAAAGAAACATTTTTAGTGTGTTACTGACACCTACTGGATAAATGCACTCATAGTAATAAATCAACAATATCAACTTATTTCAAATTCTGAAAGCTCTGTTTATATTAACCCTAAACTTTACCATTCAGTCATGTTTATGGATGATGTTTTCAGCTCATTCATTTCGGTAACTCTGTAAATTAGAACATTTTATTGGAATCAACAAATAAAATAAATAAACTACAGCCTCATTACTTTGAGCTCTTGTTTTTGCTCTTTCTCTTCCATCTGATTTGATATATTATAAATATATTTAGAATCAGGAGGATAAATGTAATAACTCAAGTGAACCCATGCAATAACAGAAAACAAGAGCTTTTGTCTATCAAATATGAGATTGTGATTGCAAAAGGTTAGTTCTAGCATTCAATAGTCAAAATGTGGATGAAAACGGCTGTGCAAGATTATGATCTATGTGTGTTTATGTCATATTTATGCTTAATTATTGTCTCTTATAATTGGTATTTTGCAAAGCCAAACAGCCAATTATCATCTTGCATTTTAAACTAATTAAAGCAATTCATAAATTTATCAGCCATGATATATATATATATATATATATACACACATTGAAATGAAGGTTGTTTAAATTTATCAAGAGAATCAAGTGATTCGGATAATACATATTTTGTCATAGAGCTTTCATGATACAAATCAAATTACACCCCAGTGAATGTTGTCAAAAATGTTTGTCTTGCAACTTGCAGCATTTTTAATGCCATTTTAATCCATCTGTATAAGTAGCATGTTTAACATTTACAGCTTCTATTATTTTCGAACTATAGCCACTGATTCCTTATACACAACATAGTAAACATAGGTTAATAAATAAATAACATTAATATGTATTGTTCAAGCATTAATTACCAAGTCAGAGATTTACAAATAATTATTTATATTTTGTTATGGCCGACATCCTGCTAACTATGACAAAAAGTTAGATCGGATGGATCTCTGTGTCAGAAATATCAGTTAAATCCTGTCAAATGATAGTTGTTTTGTCCGTTTTCTATCGGCCTTAGAGCTTGAAAAGAGCATGAAAATGAGATGTTCCTCACTGTGACGACTTATGATATTTTTTCATGTGCCTGAGAAGGCTTTTTGAATGTCTGAAACTCTTTTCACATTGTGTACAGTGCAGCTTTTCTCCCGTATGAACTGGCTGATGTTCTTTCAGGTGTGCAGACTGAGTGAAACTCTTGTCACAGTATGAGCACTTGTAAGGTTTTTCTCCAGTATGAGTTCGTTGGTGACTTTTCAGATGGTCAGATGTAATAAAGCTCTTCCCACAGTCACAACACACATGATTTTTCTCACCGGTGTGTGTTTTCTGGTGTCGTTTACAATGTTCCAGTCGTGTAAAAGTCTCTCCACAAAATGAACATGCATAAGGCCTCTCGTTTGTGTGAATTATCTGGTGTTTTTTTAGATTTGATGACATTTTAAAATCTTTACCACACTGATCACAGCTAAATGGCTTTTCTTCAGAGTGAACGCGCAGATGATGATACTTGAGATTGGTTTTACATTTAAAACTCTTCCCACACTGAGTGCAGTCGTACGGCTTCTCTCCAGTGTGAACTCGCTCATGTAATTTTTGGGATCCGGACTGAGTGAATCTCTTGTCACAGTATGAGCACTTGTAAGGTTTTTCTCCAGTATGAATTCTTTGGTGCTGTCTCAATTGGCCATTTGTAGTAAAGCTCTTCCCACAGTCACAGCACACATGATCTCTCATTTCATTGTGTGTTTTCTGGTGCTGTGTAAAACTATTCAACCATGAAAAACTCTTTTGAGCTTTCAAGTCATCTTCCTCTTTAACTTCATTCAGTTCTTGTCTTTGTTCCTTCACTTCCATCTGGTCTAAAAAACATATTTAATAGATAGAATCAGTTACCTAAATGTTTCTCAATAGTCAACAATGAAGAATCAAGAATGGACACCAACCTGTTTGTTCCTCAGTATCTTCATGTTTTATTCTGGATGGTTCTGGATCAGTCATGTCTTCAATCTCCTCTTTAATAAACTCCATCTTTAACAGTCACAGATTTCAGCTGCTACTCCTGGAGTTTGTCCTTCTCTTGTAGGATGATGGGAATATTCCCAGTAGTGTGAACTGTGATCACTGTGTGATACTGACACCCACAGGACCAGATCTATGGAAATTAAAAACAGTCAAAAAAAAGTATTCTCAAGTTAATTTTATTATTCTGAAATTATGTGAATTATATATATTAAGAATTAAACTGGCACATAAAACCAATTTAAAACCATTTCATATGATGAAGTTCATTAACCATACATTACAAGACATTGTTAATTTATATTTTTATGTTATTGACATCAATTCTCACATTTGAAACATGGAATATTTCATGTTTATTACATATTAACACTAACCCTGAGCACATGTGTTAATTAGTAGTAAAATACCTCATATCTGAATTGGATCAGGTTACACTCTGTAAATCAGGATCATATCTCACGTGTGGCAACAACCGAACAACATAGACTGTAGATATCAAACGAAAATACCTCGTTATATCCTTACTATTAATAATAACAAATACTTGAACTGGTTTTCAAACGTTCAGCACTCGCGTCTACTTTTGTTCTTTTGGATTTGCACGGTACACCCTCTTTAGTGTAACGTTATTACTGCCACCAACTGGACGTTTACATGTTTATTAATCCAATATTGAAAGCTCTGTTTAGAAGAACAACAAACTTTGCCATACAATTGAATTCGCATATTTTTAGGCATTTGTATTACGAACCCAAACAAACCTTAAGCGCATGCGCAGTGCGTCAGCGCCGGAGAAAGACTGGAGCTGCGGATTTTGCCTTGACGACATTTCAAAGAGAAAGCCGACTGTCGACGTGTAGACCTAGTAGTCTATTAGAAGGTCGTGAAGTAATTCCCTGATTAAACTCTGATTCAGTTCTGCAAGGATGTTGTACAACGCCCGAATAACCGTCCTTCATCTGAGCTCCAGTCTTACAGCGCTCGTCACTGTCAACATGGTTGAGATGACCAATCAAATCCAGGTAGGCGGGGCTGATTCCAGAGTGACGTTTCAGTTAACGTTAATAAAGTACGAGATATAGCTACTACATAAACTAAACATTCATATTTGCCAGCTGTTTTACGATAGAAATGGTAAACGACCGACAAAAATAACCAGGGATGCAAACTAATACATTTTTGTCTAATTTTGCCATTTTGAATCGAAATAAGCTTGATTCATTCATGTAGCGGCTTAATGTAATTCGAAACTGTCATTGTGGCGAGACAAGAAACAAAAAAGAAGTAAAAGAAAAAGATTAATACTGAATGTGCACGTACCTAACTGGAGCCTTCTGTAAGCTATGCACAAAATGATTCATAAAACATGTTTATAAAATAAAATAATTATTAATAAAATTATTTATTAATTATTTAACTATTAATAAAAGCTCAGCATTGGAACGGGAAGATTATGCAAGGCAAAATAAGGAAAAAGAAAGAGAAAGGGTAATGACAAAATAATTTGTTGATTAGTGTATGTGCTATATTGTTTAAGTGATAATTTTACAAATAGTACAATATAAATCAATAAACAAAGAGATCTGTATATTAAACTCTTTTTATTTGAGGTAAATTAAAACATTAACCAACTCTACATTTCAAATACATGATTTTGATGTAAGATGAAAAATTTATGCTGAAAACAGTCGCACGCTTTGATCAAACAAGATCAGGATATTTTATCTTTAAGATAAAACAAACATAACATCTCACCGCATTATAATGATATAATGAGCACACAGGTAATGATAGGTTTACAATTGCAGGAAGACAAAAAATGAGTGTCCAGTAATCAATTATTCCAAATTACAATATTGTTAGTCCCAAGATTATTCGCATCCGTGAACTAATACATTAGTTGTGTGTTCTTTAATGGTCGAGTGACCGAATTTTTTGTAAGTTTTACTAACTTAGAGGTGTTTTTGTCCATTAAAATCAAAAGTGTTCATCAGTGATTATTTAAACTTCAAACTACTTTAAACTTCTTTCTCAAGGCAAAGTTTAGTAAAGAATCAAGAATGGACACCAAACTGTTTGTTCCTCAGTATCTTCATGTTTTATTCTGGATGGTTCTGGATCACTCATGTCTTTAAAAGACGGCTGTAACATCATCTTACAACATTTTCTATGATAGAGAATGCTTTTTTTATGTTTGAAACTCTTCTCACACTGAGTGCACTGGTACGGCATATCTCCAGTATGAACTCGCTCATGTTCTTTCAGGTTTCCACAATGAGAAAAACTCTGGTCACATGATGAGCACTTGTAAGGTCTTTCTCCAGTGTGAGTTTTTTGGTGCTGTCTCAGTTGGTCAGCTCTAGTAAAGCTCTTACCACAGTCACAACACACATGATCTCTCACTTCATTGTGTGTTTTCTGGTGGGTTTTACAATGATCCAGTCGTGAAAAACTCTTTCCACAGAGAGAACACACATAAGGCTTCTCATCTGAATGAACTCTCTGATGTCGTTTTAGATCTGATGTTGAAATGAACTTTTTCCCACACTGATCACAGTTGAATGGTTTCTCTCCAGAGTGACAGAGAAGATGTTTACTGAGAGCTGTTGTACGATTGAAACTCTTCTCACACTGAGTGCATGTATACGGTTTCTCTCCAGTGTGAATTCTCATGTGTTTGTTAAGGTCTCCTTTTCGAGTGAAACTCTTTCCGCATTGAGTGCAGGTGTGAGTCTTTTTGGCTTTTGTTCGAGTTTTAACGTTGTGACATTCTTCTTCCACTTCATTTAGTTCATGGCTTTGCTGTTTCACTTCCATCCAATCTAAAATAAAACAAAAACAACATTATATGGTTAAAATAAGCTCAAAAGAACTGATTCAATAGCAGAAAGCAACAGAGATGAGAGATTCATTTATTACAATTGATATCCAGCTTTTTCATATACGCCCCATGACTGAATTGTGTCTGTACTTCCATTAAATTGTAAACAACAGGCAAAAGGATTGTTCTATGAATGCAATAAGCATTTCCAAAAACTGGGAAACAATGAGATGACATCATCTACTCACATCCATCATTCATCGAACATTCAAAAGACAATATAACAGTATAAAACTGTTAACAAATAACTCCAGCAGACCATGAATAACCCCAAAAGTAGACAGCTAAACAAATGATCATGATAAGATATTGTTTGTTTTTTTCATTCGGTCTCAGTAATTCTAAACAGACCAGTAGAAAAAAAGGTTTCAATGTAAACACTGTATGTTTAAATTATGGTAAACAACAAGTAATTTTACTTTTAACAGTCAAACACAAAATAAGCTTGAAACAAAAATATCGTTCGCATTATATGAAGAAGATTAACTTTTTGCTACAAGAGGACGCAATGAGCAAAATATCAATATAATGCATTGAATTAAAGCAATGTAATGACATGCCTGTCTACAAAAATAGTGCATAAAGTTTAAACTAACATTTATAAATATATATAAAATATAATTTCATATTTCAAATATAATTTCATAAATAACGTAAACAATTATGAACACAACAGAATTTATGCAAAGCTTTAATTAACATAAAGAGCCGAAGCACCGATCACACAGATTGCGCGTAAAAACACAGTGAAATAAAATAAAAACCCCACAAAGTGTTAAAAAATATTTTCTAAAAGTTATGCCTCTTTTAACTTTACATGGCTTGATTATTTCCGCAGCAATATAACGGATGCATTAAACATCACATAATAAATGTCTTTAACATGTAACATGTTATCTTGTCCAGGAATGTCCATTAACTAGAACATTGGGTGTTAATATTTCAGTGAATTTGTCATTTGACTGACAATAATGAAATCCTTTAGAAACATTTGAAGAAACCAAAAATTGAATTAAAATACCACGCTTTACTACTGTCCTGACGTCTGAAAATAAAAGATAAACAACATTTCACAGCTCATTCAGTCAAACGGAGGGATGAAGATTATTTCTAGAGCAACTTTATAATTTAAAAGGATTTGTTTCCGCGGAACTTTCCCAAACCGGAAGTGCCAGGAATAAGGATGATGCTGTGATTTTTTTTAGATGCATTTCTGTATCAATTATCATCCATATACTACTTATCATTTCACAGCTACGAAAGTAATCATAATGGAGAATCAAGAATGGACACCAACCTATTTGTTCCTCAGTATCTTCATGTTTTATTCCGTATGGTTCTCGATCACTCATGTCTTCAATCTCCTCTTTAATAAACTCCATCTTTAAACACTAGCGGATTAATGTTGAACTATGTAGATTAGGAATATCAATATCATGCAAACTGAAATATGCGGCATTGGTAGAAAATATTTATTTGTATGTGGTTAATAACGTTCATGTCGAACTGTTCGCGGATCTCTCTCTTCTGCGCATGCTCAGTTAGTGCGTGTATTGTTGTCATGGCTTCTTAAAGGGGCCGCACATTTTATAAGTCACATCGCTGCACTTAATTAATACATCATCGATTAATAAAGCGATTAATACATCATCGTCATAAAATCAGACAGGCTAGTCACCGCTCTAGGTTAAAATCTAAAACTTCATGTTACATAGTTACTACTCATATTTCATCATTGTTTTGGCTCACAACACATTTAACACGATATTATTTTACTTTGTATTATTCCTGTTTTAATAAAAAAAATACAAGAAAACATATTTTTTAATCTTTCATCATTAAAAAAAGTGAACACAACACAAATCAGCTTTCAGGGTTCCAGACGCAGTAAAACTCTTGTTTCCATCCAAAGTTGTGAATTTAACTAACAAAATCGTTATATCACATAAAAACATTTGCGAATAAAACAGTTTCCATCCAGCGAGGCGAAAAGAATAAATTCATCACTACTTCATGGGCGTCAGTTTGTTCTGAAATATGCTGGGGACAGAGACATTAATTTATTCTCTTTTGCGCAGGTCGTATTTTGAAAGATGATGTCCTGTAGCTTACTAATGTAAATAAATAAAAATGTATACAAAAATGTGATGATGTCCGACTCACTTTAAGAAGAAGAAAGCCTTAATTTTCCAAACAGCATTAGACATGACCCACTATTATACTTCAAAAGTAGGCTACCATGTTGACAATTTGACATAAAGTAGTTTAATGTCCCTAAACAACGATCACCAAATTTCTCTCTCATATTGCTCCTCATAACCCCTGAAAATGCTCAAAAAAATCGAACCTAAGTTAATTATTATGGACGTTATCTGACATTAATTCCCAGTACAATTGACCCGAATTCTGCACTACAAATTTTGCCATGATTAAAAAAAGCAAAAATGAACACAGTTGAATGCTATATGATGACTGACATCACCCAATCATGTGCGATTCAAGTAACATGTCATAAACAACTTTTTCAATCTAGCTGATGTCACGCACATCCATCAATATTTCAACTTTCGACAATGCTTTTTAATATGAACTGTTAGACTGCTTGGGTGGCTGAATCTCCTCCCACACTCAGTGCACTGAGGTTTCTCTCCAGTATGATTTCTTTGGTGCAGTTTCAGCTGGAAAGATGTAGTGAAGCTCCTTCCACAGTCCAAACACACGTGATCTTTCTCGCCGGTGTGTGTTTTCTGGTGCAGTTTAAAACCGTCCACACGTGAAAACCTCTTTCCACAGAGAGAACACACATGAGGCCTCTCATCTGAATGAACTTTCAGGTGTGATTTTAGATGTGGTGCCGAAATAAAATCTTTACCACACTGATCACAGTTAAATGGTCTTTCTCCGGAGTGTATGCGCAGATGATGAGTGAGAGTCGATGCGCCGGTGAAACTCTTTCCACACTGAGTGCATGTATACGGTTTCTCTCCAGTGTGAATTCTTGTGTGTTTGCGAAGGTGTCCTTTTTGTTTGAATCTCTTTCCACACTGAGGACAGGTGTGCGGTTTCTCTCCAGTGTGAACTCTTAAGTGGACCTCGAGTTTGCTTCTATGTGGGAAAGTCTTTCCACATTGCGGGCAAGTGAAAAGCGTTTCTTCAGGGTGAATTCTTTTATGACTATTAAGGCGTTTTTTTTCTTTAAAACTCTTGTCACAGTGACGGCGTGCGAAAGACTTTTTGGCTTTTGTTCTTCGAGTTATTTTTCTTGAGTGATTTGGTGATTCTCCTCCAGTTGAAAGACTCTGAGGTTTCTGACACTTCACTTCTTCACTTTCCTCTTTCACCTCCATTAGATCTACATTAAATAACATATGAGAAGAGTTCTGGATAACTGTGCAAAATGCAAATTATGATCTTTGTGTCATGCAAAGGTCTAGAAGACCAAATCTTTAAAATATATGTTAAATCTTTCATCTTTGTTTGTATAACTATAACAATATTCCGTGTTTAGATAGTCTTCGATTCTTTTTTGTCAGTAATTAATTAGTAAAAATCACCCTTACACAAATTGAGGCCTTAAAAGGGCCTTAAATTCCTAAAGTCATGGCATTAAATGTCGCTTGCATTGCAAAACAAAACAAAAATACAAAAAAATCTTCCCGTATTTTGTCCTATTTTCTTATACAAATAAAATCGAAACATCTTTAAACTGAGATTTACTTGAGATGCAAATGTTAAATGAAGTCTTGAAGAAAATTAAGTGAGTTTTCGCTTAAAACAACAACAAATATGTCTCTCCGAGTTTTTACATTTCCCTTTTGAAATAAGTTAATAATCTGATCCCATTGGCATTTATTTGGTCTTGTATTAATCATAAACTCACTTTATTTTTGATCAATTTCACATAAATTTGGACTATTTTTTATTTGCAGTAAAAGCATGTTGATTTAAGAATCTTTATATATTTGCACTTGGAAAACAAGACAAAATACTGAGGAAAAACATCACTTTTCTTCTGTGTCATCAGAGGATATACAGTAAAAAGATTTTTTAATATTCTAGATTTTGAGAGCAGAGGAATTGAAGATACTTTTGCTTTTAAAAATTAATTGGAAAAAATAGTGAATATCAACATGTTAATAATGTTGAAAGTGAAAGTGTTGCTAATAACCCATTGTGTTTCTTCCTAAACATTTACATTTAGAGCCCATACTGACATGTTGTTTTGCTTTCAATTTATTCCTTACATTTTCTTTACTTAAATGAACTTAATAAAACTTCATTTTCTTGTCTTTCATTAAATCTTATTTTATTTAAAATATATTTCATTCACATGTATACTAACCCAAACAAAAAAACTGCATTATACAAACTATAACTTCAGATACTCTTTTTCAACAACAAACAAATACATTGTTTGTCTCCTTTAAACAATTACCTAAACTTTTTTTATTGTAAATTAATGTGATGAATGTTGTTAAAATAATAACATAGATTCCTCTGCAATATAAACATATGACAGGCAATTTAAGTTAAATAAACATGTGTACCATTAAAATAAAACATCCAGATATACCGTCATCGCATATCTTAATGTTTATAAGAAGATATGTCAGTTACAAAACAAAGACATTAAACTCACAGGACACTCCGCCGTGAAGCAGCCGTCTTATTGTCGTAAACATCTGCCGTAACGCGCCTGCTCGTGTCGCATAAACGAGGAAATGTGTTACTCCGCTTGTCTTCCTTAAGGTGGCGCCAAACGCCACGGAGACGTTCGGTTCACAGACAAATAAAGCTTCAAAATATGTTTAAAAAATACCTCCGAAATAACAAGTTCATTATCAACTACACTGTAAAAATGAATATGCTTTATCTAATCAATAAAATTGTGGCAACAGATTACAAGCAATATTATTTATTAAATTGAACAAATTAGAATTCAGTAATAGTTAATCAAATTAACATTCTAATTATTTCTAATTTTTACAATTTAATTAATAATATTGCTTGTAATATGTTGCCACAATTTTATTGATTAGATAAAGCATATCATTTTTTTCAGTGTAATGAACACAGCGCAAGAATGACCACAGTACTACTCAATCAAAAAAAAAAAAAAAAAATTCAATGGCGGCAATTAATTTTAATAAAGCTTTTGAATCCAGTAAGAGCTGGCAAAGTATTTTAATACAATTTCTGAATCGAAATTGAAAGAATATAGTTAGACCTAGAAGGTTTTTATTTTTAATCAGGTAAGGGAGGTAAAAGAGTTTCTGATCCAAAACAGTAGATGGCGGTAATGCTCTGTCTGAGTGAGAATGCAGGCCTCCGATAATTAAAAAAAGAAAGAAGATCGCAGTGCTGTACGTTTGAAGACCAGTTTCAAGTTTATTATAATCGAGGAGGTTACACGAGTTTGAATGAAGGACAGATGTGGAGTATTTTCGCTGTATAGGCTACTGGCTGTTTTCAGTCTACATTTTTGGACACGTAAGATACGTTTTTTTTTTTTCTCCGTTTTTCCCCGAAATATCTTTTTAGCCTATTGTACGTTACGGTGGGGCATTGTTGCCACCCACATATTATTTTTCCAATCAATTATGTGATATTATGTCGTTTTAATTACATCCTTTCTCGTAATTAGATATGTCGTTAAAACGGTAACATATACAACTTAAGGATACGCAATAAAATTAAAAAGATAAATATTCATTATTCCCGCCCACTAACAGTTTAATCGCTGCTAGGCTCATTATGAGGGGTCCTTGGAAAATATTCTACCTTATAAGGAGTCCATGCAAAATGTTTGCGAAAGTTTGGTTTAGATAGATGAAGTAGGCTCTCTTTGTGAACTGTACATCAGTAAATCACAAAAATATCCTGTAATGGGCCATGCATACATATTTGCGATTAACTTCTGTAAGTGCGATAAAGGCACGATGCTTTATAAATTCTCAAATGTTGAAAGACATATTACACATCACTGTACAAAACATGTCCTTATTACGAGAACATTTAAAGATAATTATTTTTCCATTTTAACAAAAGATCTCGTTATTACAAGAAAATATGTTGTTTAAATTACAAAATATCCAGTTATTACGAGAAAAGATGTTGTTAAAATGACACGTCTCATTATTACGAGAAAAGATGTCGTTTTAACTAAATATCATCTCATTAATATGAGATAAAAATGTTATTAAAATTACTTATCATCTCGTTATTATGATAATTGAGTGGAAAAGTAAAGTGATTGTGGCACCAATGCGCAACCATAATATTGTGTATGAAATCATGGGCGATTCAACGTCTTGTAAACACTTTCACAGAAAGAATTGACTCAAAAGAACGAGGCTTCAGTCAATAGAAATACGGGATGTGCAACTGCTGTGTCCATGGAAAGTGTTTACACTTAGTTGAAATGTTAATATAAGAATTTAACATGTGTCAATTTATCCATATTCAACATCCCGTGTTACATGAGGTTGTTTCCTATAGGTCTGTTTTATATGATAATACCACTATACAAACTTGTCAAAACACTGTATTTCTAGCAGGAAATATGCTCACTTAATTTACGAGTAATTAAAGTAGCTCAGTATAGTAACTTGATTTTAATTTTTCCAGATCTGATCCTGTGGGCGTCAGTATCACGCAGTGATCACAGTTCACACCTGCAGTGAAGCCCCTCCCACAACAATTCACCAATAAATACTGGGAATATTCCCATCATCCGATCCTACAAGAGAAGGACAAACTCCAGGAGTAGCAGCTGAAATCTGTGTGACTGTTAAAGATGGAGTTTATTAAAGAGGAGATTGAAGACACGACTGATCCAGAACCATCCAGAATCAAACATGAAGATACTGAGGAACAAACAGGTTGGTGTCCATTCTTGAGTCTTCATTGTTGACTAAGGGTGTCACGATTTCAGTTTTAAATTGAAATCGATCGAAGTTAACAGTCTTGAATATCAAATTAAAAAATGAAATCGTCGATGCTGCCACGCCCCCACGTCACGTCCGATTGGCTTTCCAAGCGGAAAAAAACACGCGTTGAAGTGCTGCGAGACTATGGTCAACCTCCTCTAACTTTGCTACAGTAGCGCACACAGCAGAGAGGGAGAGAGCGAGAGACCTTGAGTGACAGAGAGCATCCTGATCGATAAAAATCGAGAATCGAATCGAAAATGTAATTGAATCAAGGATTTGGAGAATCGTGACACCCCTATTATTGACTGTTGAGAAAAATTAAGGTAACAAAGCTTTAGTTTAACACATTGGATGATAAATGATACAGAAAATCCATTTAAATGGTCAAAGGGTCATTCCATGTCAAATCAAACAAATTTTATAAACTCCCCTGGTGCAATTTTTTTTTTTTTTTTTTTCTGAAGATAGACTTCATGAGAGACTTTTTTTCTCTTTAACCAGTTTTCCAGTCTTACGCTTTATTTTTTTATTTTAGACTGGATGGAGATTAAACCCGAAAAACATGAACTAAATGAAACAGATGAGGAACAGCAGAGCATCAAAGCTAATAAACTTTACACCTGCCCTCAGTGTGGAAAGCGTTTCAGACAAAAAGGACACCTTAAAATACACATAAGAATTCATACTGGAGAGAAACCATTTAACTGTGATCAGTGTGGTAAAGATTTTATTTCGTCATCACATCTAATCAAACACCTGAAAGTTCATTCAGATGAGAAGCCTTATGTGTGTTCTCTCTGTGGAAAGAGTTTTTCAAGGCTGGATCATTTTAAACAGCACCAGAAAACACACAATGAAGTGAGAGATCATGTGTGCTGTGACTGTGGGAAGAGTTTTACTAGATCTGACCAACTGAGACAGCATCAAAGTTTTCATACCGGAAAGAATCCTTACAAGTGCTCATACTGTGACAAGAGTTTCAATCGGTCAGAGCACCTGAAATCACACGAGCGACTCCATACTGGAGAGAAGCCTTACCAGTGTACTCAGTGTGAGAAGAGTTTCAGAGATGCAACTGGTTTAAAAAGTCATCTGCGCGTTCACTCCGGAGAAAAACATTTTAACTGTGATCAGTGTGGTAAAGAGTTTATTTCGTCATCAAATCTAAATCAACACCTGAAAGTTCATTCAGATGAGAGGCATTATGTGTGTTCTCTCTGTGGAAAGAGTTTTTCTCGACTGGATCATTTTAAACTCCACCAGAAAACACACAATGAAGTGAGAGATCATTTGTGTTGTGACTGTGGGAAGAGCTTTACTAGAGCTGACAATCTGAATCGGCACCAAAGAATTCATACTGGAGAAAATTCTTACAAGTGCTCATATTGTGACAAGAGTTTCACTCGCTCCAGATCTCTGAAATCACACGAGCGAGTTCATACTGGAGAGAAAACCACACCACTTCCCTCCATGGGAGAAGAGTTTTAAAAGTTTATCAAGCCTTCACATCTGCAAGAAGACTAGAAACACTTGAGATTTGAGATTTCCTGGAATGATCCTTATTCGTGTGCTTCACTTATACAGCCATTCAGTGACAATTATAATGATGTACCATCTAGGATGATAATAATACACAACCTTGTCAAAACACAATTCTGAACAGCAAATATGTTCATTTAACTATCATGTAATTAAAGTAGTTCAGAATAAAAGTTCAATATAAATTCAGTAACTTTCCAATTCCAGATCTAGTCCTGTGAAATCTGTGTGACTGTTAAAGATGGAGTTTATTAAAGAGGAGATTGAAGACATGACTGATCCAGAACCATCCAGAATAAAACATGAAGATACTGAGGAACAAACAGGTTGGTGAACATTCTTGATTCTTCATTGTTGATGCTTTGGTGGCTGTGAAATTCTTAGTATATTGATGATAAATTATTTAGAAATTAATCAAAATGATCCTAACCTTGTAATGTGTCAAATACATTTGAATGATTCAAATTCATGAGAATGGCCTCATTTATAACCGTTGCGTTCAGACAAAACAGGCCATGAAAAAGTCGTACGCCACTTCCGATGCATAAGTTTTGATTTATAAAAACTAACTTGATGGGAAAATTTCCACACCTGCACGCAAACTCTGACCCATGCGTGCAAACGTTTTTAAGACGGAGCAGTTTGGCGACACCGACGGTGAGCTGGAGTTAAACTGACACGTATAACCTATCTAACGGCAGATGAATGATCAGAAATACAGTGAAACACCTTAAATAAATAAAATAATGATTTAAACTGTTTTACTTTTGATATAAACATTTAGATTAAATGTGCCATTCTCATTAATGGAGTTAAAGTCTTAAACTACATGAAATTACTGAGAAGTTACAACATTTTTTTTATATTCAATAAATAGAAATATTTGTTGTGGATGCAATGCTTTTGAACACTTTTTTCCTCTGGCATGCTGTGTTTTTATGTTTTAACTGCAGAGATAATTGCTCACGATAATAGCAGATTGTCTGAGAAAAATAGTTTTGTGCAAAGAAGTTACCATCAAAAATATAAATCAATTTGGTCAATGGAAAAGATTAAGAAACTTTTTCTGAAATGTATTTTACACTATTTGAGTTATTTATTAGGCTCATGATTTTTATTAATGTAATGCGACGGCACATCAGCATTTAATATTTTCCTAATATCTTATTAAACATGGTTTCACAGATGAATAAGCATATGCAGATGAAGATATCCATAGTAAAACTAGGTGGTGTAAGCTCCATATATAGTTATTTTGAGGAGACACATGCGCATAATCTTTTGCTGACTGGGATTTATAAAGTGAATTCTGCGCAGGTTCTGGCGTACGAACAGTTTTATAAGTCTGAATATTTTTTGTTGTACGCCATTTTTTTTAGTAAGGACAGTTTTATAAATGAGACCCTTTAAAGAGCCCCTATCATGGATTTTTGAAAATGACTGTTCATATGGTGTGGAATATAGCCTTAAGGGAATGAAAACATCCTGCAAAGATTTATATCTGAAAGTGCACCGTATATAAAGTTATTGTCTTTCAAAAGTGAGAGTCGACTCTGAGTCTATGAAATGAATTGTTCTTGAAACGAGTCATTAGCTGTTACATCGTAACGTAGATACATACTGGCAGACGGAAGTGTAAACTTGAAGTCTACACATTCAAATACTTCATCATAGCATCATGTCGAGAAGACGCTGTGTTCTACAATCCAAAGATAGTTCAGCCACTTTGTTTTCATTTACCAGGGACGAGCATGTGAAGAATCGCTGGTTAGAGTTCATATTTGCAACGATACCACAACAGTATAGCCCGATTGTGTTCTCATAATTTTATTGACGAATAACGTTAGTTCAAAAACATAAATGAATGTGGATGCGGTTGTTCCTGAAGGAGGGCTCAGTAACTTACTTACCCAGTGTATATGGATCAGCTTCCTCCTTCGAATCACATTAATATTAATAATTGTTGCTTTTATGGGGTTTGAACGGTTTTGTAGCGTCGGGCGTGAGGCAGTATGTGTGTGTGTGTGTAAGTTACGCTCAGCGCAGCTTCTAGGTCTCCAATGTCAATTTTTTTTTAAATATGTGAAATGTTTGTCGCTGTTATTGGAGTTGATTTGATTTGATTTGAGATCTTTATTTTGAACATGTAAATAATAAATAAAAATACAGATATTAATCAATGAAACAAAGACTATTAATTAAAAGAAACAAAACAAAAACAAACAAAAAAACAAAAAACAACCCTCTATTTACATGTGCAAAAAGGAGTAGGAAGAAGTAAAACTTATGTACTCCTACCCCCCTATACCATATTTAAACAAATACCTAAAAAAAGAAATAAAAAAGAAATAAATAAAAATCTAAATAAGTAATCAATCTATAATCCATGAAAGTATTGATTCAGAAGTTCTATACACTTAAGGATGTTTCCCGATACATGACAATATTTATACTACGAGTTAATTCAATATAAGCTCAAGTTAACACTATGTTTCTCTGTAACTCTGGAATATAATTTCTTTGAACATCTTTTTAAAATGAATTATGTTTGGACATTGCTTAAATTCATTATTTAGATTATTCCACAACTTAACACCACAGACAGACAAACAGAAACTTTTCCTAGTTGTTCGATAACTGATAGTCTTGAAGTTTGACCTTCCCCTTAAGTCGTAACACCCATCTCTTTCCAAGAACCTTTTCTGTATACTACCAGGCAATACATTTTTCCTAACCTTAAACATAAATATTGCTGTTTGAAATTCAAGTGTCATAAAGAATAGAGCGTCTTGTAGTACTGCAGTGCTTTATCAATATGTTTATGGGTTATGCTAACAAACAATAACTGACTGGGTCTGTCATCTGACCAATCACCGCCGATTAGCGTCACGCAAAGGAGTGGTTTGGAAAAATGAGTCGTTGTACGAATCATTTGGGAGTCGGTGAGCAAATCGGTTAAAAATAAATGCATATTATAAGACAAATAAAGTGTTTTTTATCCTTGCATGCATGTTAAACTGTTTTTGGGAACTCCTAAAATAAAAATAGGAACATTTTTAAATGCTATGATAGGGGCTCTTTAAACTTTATTGTTACACAGATGGAAACCTATTCTCTTGTTGTCTGCTTGTTCACTTGAATTTTCCTTGAAATGATCCTCCTTTAAGGGTTAGTTCACCCAAAAATGAAAATTCTGTCAGTATTTACTCACCCTCATGTTGTTCCAACCCCGTAAGACCTTCGTTCATCTTCTGAACACAAATTAAGATATTTAAGATATTAAGATCACTCCTGCATACAGTCCATAGGCTTCTTGAGGGAATGACTCTTGCTGGCATCGAAAAGTCATTAAAGACATCATTAAAATAGTCCAAGTGACTACAGGGGCTCAATCTTAAGTTTATCAAACGACGAGAACACTTTTGTGCGCAAAAACAAACAAAAATAACGACTTTATTTCAACTATTCACTTCCTTCTCTATGAGCCTGTAGTCAGTTAACGTAGTGTGATTGCGTAAAGCTACGTCACACGTAGGCTCACTATTGGCCGACGCTGGTCATGTGTGTGATGCGTGTGACGTACAATAAAAGAAGCTTACGCTATTAAACTAGTAACCTGACTCGCGCAGAGGGAGAAAATAAACGAATAGTTGAAATAAAGTCGTTATTTTTGTTATTTTTTTGCGCACAAAAAGTGTTCTCGTCGTTTGATAAAGTTAAAATTGAGCCCCTGTAGTCACTTGGACTATTTTAACGATGTCTTTAATGACTTTTCGAGGACAGCAAGAGTCATTCCCTCAAGAAGCCTATGGACTAGTATGCAGGAGCGATCTTAATATCTTAAATATCTTAATTTGTGTTCAGAAGATGAACGAAGGTCTTACGGGGTTAGAACAACATGAGGGTGAGTAAATACTGACAGAATTTTCATTTTTGGGTGAACTGACCCTTTAAACTGATTATGACTAAACTTCTGAATATGTTCATTTTAGATCAGATGGGAATAACAGAGCTAAGAGAAGACCTGAATGAAGTAAAGAAACACTGTGACTTCAAATGTGAAAAAACAAAAGCCAAAAAGCTGCACTCCTGCTCACAATGTGGAAAGAGTTTCAGACACAAAGGACACCTTGATGTGCACATGAGAATTCACACTGGAGAGAAACCGTATCCATGCACTCAGTGTGAGAAGAGTTTCATAACTTCATACATTCTCAAAATTCATCTGCGTTTTCACTCTGGAGAAAGACCATTTCACTGTGATCAGTGTGGTAAAGAGTTTATTTCATCATCACAACTAAAATCACACATGGACGTTCATTCAGACGAGAGGCCTTATGTGTGTTCTCTCTGTGGAAAGAGTTTTCCAAGAATTAACAGTTTTAAACAGCACCAAAAAACACATAATGAAGTGAAAGATCATGTGTGTTGTGACTGTGGGAAGAGCTTTACTAGAACTGACCAACTCAAACAGCACCAAAGAATTCATACTGGAGAAAAACCTTACAAGTGCTCATACTGTGACAAGAGTTTCACTCGTTCTGCAAACCTGAAATATCATCAGCGACTTCATACTGGAGAGAAGCTGTATCACTGTACTCAGTGTGGAAGAGATTTTGGTTCACTATCATATCTCAAAAAACACCTTATTGTTCATACAGTTGTCAAGGCTCACTTGTGTTCTCTCTGTGGAAAGAGTTTTTCAAGGTTGAGCCATTTTAAACTGCACCAGAAAACACACAATGAAGTGAGAGATCATGTGTGTCGTGACTGTGGGAAGAGCTTTACTAGATCTGGTCATCTGAAGCAGCACCAAAGAATTCATACTGGAGAAAAACCTTACAAGTGCTCATACTGTGACAAGAGTTTCACTCGGTCTGAAAACTTGAAATCACACGAGCGAGTTCATACTGGAGAGAAGCGGCACGACTGTACTTGAGAAGAGTTTCAGACATGTATCAGGCCTTCACACTCACATGAAAAACTGTTGCAAGTGATCAACATTCAATCATCAAATACATTCAGGTAAATTCTGCAAGATAAAATATTGAGATTTGTATGTGTTTTATGCCATTTTGAGGATTACATTTCTATACTGTCTCATTATACTGGGACAGAAATGCCATTAAACAATATAAGCATTGTCGAAGTGGCTAAGTTACATATATATTCAGTTAGAGACAAAGAAAAAAGTTGCTTTATTTTGTGATTGTCAGGTATAAAGAGACTAGACGTAACTTAGGCTATCTGACAGATAAAATAAAAACATGATTGTGATTGTGATGGCATTTATGATTGGTCTGATTTCTTCAAACGTTCACCATGTTTTTTACTATGCATACCATTATCTTCAAGCACTTACTACGTTTACTATGGTAACTTAATGGTTAGCGCACAATATAGTCTTTTCTTTTGCGTAGCGTATAAATATTTCTACCTTATACTGTGATCAGAATCCACATCGGATCACAAAAAGAAGGCATTCAAACATGAAAGTGAGTTAAATTATTTTAAAAGTCTTTAATGCTGCTGACAGAATAATCTGGCGCTAGCTGACATAGGCGAGGAGGTGGACGACGAGGAAGAGGAGGAGACCGAGCGTCAATACCACTTATTAATTTGAAAAAGTGCCAACAGTATTGGGATAATGAGACTGAAGGGGTACATTTATGCAATACAAAAGAAAGTGGGAAAGTTAGAAAGAGTGGGGGAAATAGGATTAAGGATGGGACATACAGGTTTGAATACAACAACATTACATCCAATATCTAAACATCCATCGGGAATGTGTGAGAAATGTACTAGACACTGTGGAACATGTGATTATAAATTGTAAGGATTATGATGAAGAGTGCTAGGAGAAGAATGAAGGAATGGGGTTAACATTAAAGAATATATTAGACTTTCATTTTCTGAATAACACAGGATTAATTGGAAGAATGTAGAAGAGATGTATAGGTAAACTGTGGGTAAAGGAAAGAATATCTGAAGGAAAACAATAGTATTGTGAATTGGATGGGAGCTAAAGAGGTGGAAACTGGACAAGCTGAATTTGCAGCGCCAGTGGTTTTTTTTTTGTTGTTGTTGTTTTTTTGTAGTGGGGATGGTTAGAAAATGATAGGATGAATATGAATGTTTCTGGCCCAAGCTAAATGATAATGGCAGTGATGCACTGTTTATTGCGACTGCCGATAAAAGACAGACAGAAGAAGAAGAATACAATGCTGCCCCTTTAAGAAATGTGACGACATCGCGCACTGCGCCTGCGTAGAAGAGAGACGCGAGAGACGAGACCAGCTGAAACTTTCACCAATTGAGGCAATAATATCTGTAAATTGAGGCTAAATTTGTCAGTTAATCGTGAATGAATGTGAAATACTTTCTTCGGATGCCGTATATTTCCAATCAGCAGGTGAGCGATGTTCTCAGATTACAGAGTGAGTACAAGCCCTCATATCGAGAAACAGAATACACTTAACTTAGGTAAAGTTGGTTTTATATTCGCACATTCGCGGACCTCCACGTTTTGTAACTCGTAAACTAAAAATAGTTACTACACAAATAACACCTAACACACATTACTACACATATGTATGTATGTTAAAAGAAAATCCTAGTGTTAAAAAAGTTACATTTCAATGTGAGTGTGTGTGTGGGTAATGAATGGGTAAAGTTGCATTCCAATGTGTGGATTTTGATGTACTGTAAATGCACTGGATTGTATGGGAAATTTAATGTAAGTGCCACTGTGTATGAATTGAAATCACATGCATGTTGAATAGCTTCTATTGTGGAAATGTGCTGTGTTCACATGCTATGGAAAATAGGATATTTTCCACTTGTGAACTGGTATTTACCAGTGTGTTGCGTTCAAGTGCTTTTGTTGTCGTAATGTGGTAAAAAGATGGAGATCCAGACCTGTTATTTAGCTAAAACTATTTTAGATTGCTTAAGACATCTGCAACAGCAAGAAAATGATTTATCAAAACTCAAAAGGTAAATAATATGCTGTATATTTTCTAGATCATGAATAGTATTTATTTTTTATTTTTTTTACCATTCACGACTCTCGCGGTGCTCTCCGCCGTTTTGAAATGGTCAAAGGTTATCTCATCTCGGCAACTCGTCCATCAAAATATTCTACGAGTTGCCCAGTGGTAAATACCACATGAGGGGGTGTTCATGTGCATTTTCCACGTCGGCTTTTGGTATTTACCATAATTACCATAGCACATACACTGTATTTTTAGGGTTGGTAGGGAAATTAAACTCAATCATAAAACTACATATATATATATATATATATATATATATATATATATCTAGGGCACATATATAAGGCACATAGATTATTTCTTCAAAAAAAAATATGCGAGGACACTAGTATACAAATATACACATGAACATCTTTACGAGCTAGTTCATATTGCAACTCGCATACATTCACTTATACACTTGCATTTGCACTAAGAACAATGTATAAACGGACTGCTACTTGCTTTACACAGGCAAGCACACAACTTTAGCAAAGTTAAATCGTTACAGTACAGCTTGCATCTGTCCGCTTTCTAGATCAGTCATACTCAGTGGGCGGGGATCACTGACTTGCTGATTGACTCGCTGGACGGATGCTGTGAGGAATGCATCAATTTTGTCATACAGTAAAGCAACTAAAGCCCTTGAATATAACCCTAATAGAGGCCTTTTTACACCCATGGTGTAGTGTGATCTTTGGAGAGTGCTTAATAACATTCAAGTCAAGTGTTTAACTTGGGTAACCACTGAAAAGTTATTGAAAGACAGTGCCATGTCACACGAACATGGTCAAGTTTTCCTAAAAAGTTGTCAAGCGGGGTAAAGTTAGTTTTAGGTTTGATATTTGCTGCGTATTCACCTAGGCTGCTTTAGGGACTGTCTGTACGTACAGTACACAAATATTGTTTTATGTAAAACTTGTAGTAATTCACATGAAGTATTTTATCATATTCCAAAGTGCGTAGTGCTTTCCTAGCGATCAGTCTGACTTACTCCAGGTGAAATTTTTACTATACTTCCCTTACTGTACAAGTATCAAATATGTTTATGTAATAAACATAAAATTAAAAAGAAGCCTTTAATATCAGATGGCTAATAATTATTTACACATGAATATTAGGCATTTTCATTTCCAGCCTTCGTGTACAATTATATATCACTTATAAATGATAAAATACAACATATTATTAGGATTAATGGAATTTGAAATTGGTAAAATGTTAATATGGTTAAATGGTAAAATATGATCAGAAAATCAATGTGCCTAATAATTTTTCTCCAATTATTTCAGCCTTTTATTAAATTAACGCAGTGCTGAGAATTGCATGAACCAATGGTGATGCTGCATATCTGCACACACCAATCGGAGCGCATCCTGAACTTAGCCTGCCAAAGGGGGCGGAGCATGTGCCTGTATAAGCAGCTCCTCTCGCCATAGAACAGGGTGGGGAAATGGGTCATATGTGTTTTCTGTTAAAGTAATCCAGTATAAATTCTTTTAAAAATCGTTTTTTTTCCAGATCTGGTCCTGTGGGCGTCAGTATCACACAGTGATCACAGTTCACACCTGCAGTGAAGCCCCTCCCACAACAATTCACCAATAAATACTGGGAATATTCCCATCATCCTACAAGAGTAGGACAAACTCCAGGAGTAGCAGCTGAAATCTGTGTGACTGTTAAAGATGGAGTTTATTAAAGTGGAGATTGAAGACACGACTGATCCAGAACCATCCAGAATAAAACATGAAGAAACTGAGGAACAAATAGGTTGGTGTCCATTCTTGATTCTCCATGATTGACTGCTTTGGTGGCTGTGAAATAAGTAGTATATTGATAATAAATGATTTGATACCAACCTTGTATATAGCAATGTGTCAAATAGATTTTTATTATTCAAATTAATGAGACTGATATAACAAACCATCGACATCAAAAATCTAATACTTTGTTCTCACACAGACAGAAACCTATTATCTTGTCGTCTGCTTGTTGTTCATTTGAATTTTCCTTAAAATGATCCTCCTTAAGCTGATTATAACTACTTGATGTGTTCATTTTAGATCAGATGGTAAAAACAGAGCTAAGAGAAGACCTGAATGAAGTAGAGAAACACTGCGACTTCAAAACTGAAGGAACAAAAGCCAAAAAGCTGCACTCCTGCTCACAGTGTGGAAAGAGTTACAGACACAAAGGAAACCTGAACGCACACATGAGAGTTCACACTGGAGAGAAACCGTATCCATGCACTCAGTGTGAGAAGAGTTTCACATCTTCATCTTTACTCAAACTTCATCTGCGTGTTCACTCTGGAGAAAAACCATTTAACTGTGATCAGTGTGGTAAAAAGTTTAATTCATTATCACATCTAAAATCACACCTGATAGTTCATTCAGATGAGAAGCCTCATGTGTGTTCTCTCTGTGGAAAGAGTTTTTCATGGCTGAACAATTTTAAACAACACCAGAAAACACACAATGAAGTGAGAGATCATGTGTGTTGTGACTGTGGAAAGAGCTTTACTGCATCTGCTGAACTGAGACAGCACCAAAGAATTCATACTGGAGAAAAACCTTACAAGTGCTCATACTGTGACAAGAGTTTTGCTCAGTCTGGAAACCTGAAAGTACACGAGCGAGTTCACACTGGAGAGAAGCCGTATCAGTGTCCTCAGTGTGGAAAAGGTTTTACTTTATCATCATGTCTCAAAAAACACCTAACTTTTCATTCAGGTGTTAAGCCTCACTTGTGTTCTCTCTGTGGAAAGAGTTTCAGAGGAAAAGGAGACCTTAACAGACACATGAGAATTCACACTGGAGAAAAAACATTTAACTGTGATCAGTGTGATAAAGAGTTTATTTCGTCATCACATCTAAAACAACACCTGAAAGTTCATTCAGATGAGAAGCCTCATGTGTGTTCTCTCTGTGGAAAAAGTTTTTCATGGCTGGAAAGTTTTAAACGGCACCAGAAAACACACAATGAAGTGAGAGATCATGTATGTTGTGACTGTGGGAAGAGCTTTACTAGAACTACTCATCTGAATCGGCACCTACGAATTCACAATGAAGAAAAACCTTTCAAGTGCTCATACTGTGACAAGAGATTCACTCAGCCTGGAAACCTGAAAGTACACGAGCGAGTTCACACTGGAGAGAAGCCCTAATACTGTACTCAGTGTGAGAAGAGTTTTAAACAATTATCAAGCCTTCATGCTCATATGAGAAACTGTTGCAAGTGATCAACATTCGATTTCATATCAACTACATTTAGATAAACTCCAGAAGATAAAATATGGAGGATCTAGGTTTTTATTTATTTATTTTCTTATAATTTAAAGACTAGAAAACTTAAGTTCAAGCTTCAACAGTGTAAAATATTTTTCTGTGCAACATCTCTCTGTATGGATTGTGTGCTTAGTAGGTCTATCTTGAATTCTTTATATTCATGTCACTTACTTATTTACATAGTTTACTATATTGTCTTCTGATAGAACATGCAATTATGACAAATAAACAGAAAAAAAATTTGTCTTAACAAAAAAATTGTTTAACTGCAATTGTTTAAACTGAAAACAAGTCTAATATACTTCCGGACCAGCTCCAGTAAATACAGACCATTAAAGAAATAATGTGTGTTTTACATTTACATTTAATCATTTAGCAGACTCTTTTATCAAAATCGAATACAACTGAGGAAAACAACAGCCCATTTTAAACACAGCCGGACTCTCCATTGGTCTAGGGCTGCAACTAACGACTATTTTAATAGTTGACTAATCACCGACTATAGAAACGATTAGTCGACTAATCGAATATTTATTAAATTTTTCTAAAATTTAGCATGAGTTTGCTTTAATTCGGAAAATGATAAAACACAATAAAGAAGGGGGTACTTCAATGAAAATGCAAATTTTATTGAACTTTAATGCTGATAGGCCGATTCATACTAACGTAAATAAAAATGCCCTGTCTAAAGCCAATTAGGCCCAGTGCTTGGTCAGTATAGACATACCGGTAAATTCATATATAGAGAAACTCTATCATTTTTATAAAGGACAGGCACATTTGTTTAACTATTTCTATTATTATTATAAAGTATAGGCTAAAGGGGTACATTTATGCAATACAAAAGAAAGTGAGGTCTGTCTGTTATTACTGCTGTTCATCAGGGGCCCGTTCTTCATACGTCGCTAACTCACTTAGCTGAATTTGATTGTGGCGATTTGCCATGATCTTGGATTGTTTGGTTCTTCGACGCTCATCCTGGACTTGCTGTCAAGCTTAAATCTGCTCGCGAGCAGATTTCAATTTCCATTGAACTCTATTGGTAACTAACGACGGAACTTGCGACCATAGTTGACTAACAATGCTCTCGGGAAACGCACCCGAGAGCGATGAAGATGGCGGAGCGTTGCACTCCGAGTGTTCTTTGCTCGGTTTTTAACTAAAAGTAAATGTTAATCACTTAAAACAGACGCGATAGGATAGCTGATTCGAACGAGTGATATTCGACGGCGGCATCTATCTTTGTAATGTAGACTACAAAATCCCAGCGCTGATGTCATCGTGTAAAGCCCGCCCCCAACGTTTCTGATTGGTTCATCGATTGTGACGGATTGGGAATGGGCTTGAATGAGCTCTTTGCCAGACTAACAAAACAAAAAAAAATTGCCAGAAGTTGTCTGGGTTAACAATTTTCTATGAAATGTGCTTTATAAATAAACTTGACTTGCGTTGCCTTGATAAGAATTGGGCATAACAAAAACATGTTACTGAAAATTAGCAAATTAAGAGTCCTAACAAAATGACTGAGCCATAATGTTTAACTGAGCTGCTAAAAAGCATCTTTATCTCGTTCAATAGTCCCTGTTTTCACCTCATTCATTATGCTTATGTCTGAGATCTTCTGTAAATTGGCACATCAGTGTCAGACAAACTACAGGATCATCACTTTATGTGTTAATCACCTATCAATGTGTGTTTTATATTTTACAGGTTATAGTAAATGACTAAAAATACTATTAAAGGCAACAGAAACCAAACCTGCAAACTCTCTTTCTGACACTGACAGTTGTGCAGATCTGAGGAGTTTTTATTTGAATGTACATCTGAAGGGAAATGACTGTCTTCATAAAAGTTTCGATGGCATCTCCGTTTATCTTTCCTCTTTATGTCTAATAAGCGCAGCGCTGCTTGTGTTCAGGAGTAACCGCTGTATTTCTGCTTTTCCACAAGCGCCAGAGAGTGAATTTTCATTTTCAGTCAGCGCGTCTGCTGTTTTTGTTCATATACCATTACACACATGCCCATTTATAAAGATCAAATATGACGTTTGTCATTTTATAAAAGCGTTTGTTTTGTCAGAACTGGTGGCTAAGTTTTATCTGTATTTTTGTATTTTTATCTGCATTTTACAAATACGATTTTAATTAGGCCAAGACATTGGTGTTGTTTCAAAATAACTTTGCCACCTAAACAACATTTTCTGTTTCAATATCACAATTTTATGAAATAATTTGAGTTTTTTATGAGAATTATACTGGTCCGTACAGTACAGACAACATTGTGACCATTGCATACATCAATCATCAAGCTGGTCTGACTACGCTCCTGCAGCATGTCGACTCGCCACTCGTCCGCCATCTCCTCCTATGGAGTTAGAAGCATCTGAAGTACGGTGTACATTTTAGGACATCCTCAGACCTCAGACATATGAAAACAAGGCATCATGCCTCAGACTAAAAGGCTTCAGTTATTGGAAAAAAACGGCATCACGCCTCAGACTAAAAAGCTTCAGGTCTCAGGAAAAACAATGTCAGGTCTCGTACAATTAGGCATCAGACAAAACAGCCTCAGAAAAAAAGGCATCAGGCAAAACAGCCTCAGACTAAAAGGCATCAGACATAAAGGCATCAGGCGAAACGGACTCAGATGGAGTTTCGCATTGCCCCGCCCCTTGTGACGTCACGTGTACGCGGTTCAGAGCTCGAAAGAACCAAATAAAGCTTTACTTCACAATAGTTTGCACATATTATGTCATCTAACATTTTAAACTTGCAAATAAAACTCGCAAAATGCAAGTTCTCTTCTGCATAAAATGAAATTAGTGTAACATTTAATTAAAACATTTATGAACGATAGCCTATATAGGCCCCTAACACTAAGATTTTTAAAATGTTTTTAAAAGTATCTTCTGCTCACCAAGGCTGCATTTATTTGATAAAAAAACAGTAATATTGTGAAATATTATTCCAATGTAAATCATCTGTTTTCTATGCTGCCCTACAAAGGCTAAGTGACGGGGGAAAAAGGCCTTTGAAGTTTTTTATACCAGCCAGTCAATAATTTTGTGGTAATGCATCTCCGAAAGGGGACATAATTGAACCCAGATTTTTTTTTTACAAGACAGAACACATGTCATAAAGCCCATTACAAGTACTCAGTCATTTTTGACCAAATGTGTAGTTACTGCGCTTTGTCTTTGTAGGGCAGTATGTGAATATACAGTAGGCCTAAAGTGTAATTTATTCCTGTGATTAAAACTGAACGTCAGCATCATTAATCCAGGCTTCAGTGTCACATGATCCTTCAGAAATCACTCTAATATGATGATTTGATGCTCAAGAAACATTCATTATGTTTATCAGTGTTGAAAACAGTGTACATTTTTTTCCCAAAAATTCTTTGAAGAGAGAACAGCAAAAGAACAAAAGAATCTTTCAAAAGAACATCATTTATCTGAAATCTAAAGCTTTTGTAACATTAAACACTACCGTTTAAAAGTTTGGGGTCAGTAAGAATTTTTGTTTTATATTTGGGGGGAAATAAATAAAATAAATAAAAACATTTATTCATCAAGGATGAGTTAAACTGATCAAAGTTACAGTAAAGACATTTATAATGTTAGAAAATAATTTATTTTAAATAAATGCTGTTCTTTTTAACTTTCTATTCATCAAACACAAACTGTTTTTAACATTGATAATAATAGTAATGAATGTTTCTTGATCATTAAATCATCATATTAGAGTGATTTCTGAAGGATCATCATGTGACACTGGAGTAATGCTGAAAATGATGCTGAAAATTTAGCTTTAATCACAGGAATAAATTAGGCTACACTTTACAAAATTAGAAAAAATCTTAGTGATATATATGCTCTAATTAAATGTTGCACTTATTTCGTTTTATGCAGAAGAGAACATGCATTTCGCGAGTTTTATTTGCACGTTTAAAATGTTAGATGACATATTTGTGCAAACTATTGTGAAGTAAAGCTTTCTTTGGTTCTTTCGAGCTCTGAACCGCATGTACACGTGACGTCACAAGGGGCGGGGCAATGCGAAACTCCATCTGAGTCCGTTTCGCCTGATGCCTTTATGTCTGATGCCTTTTAGTCTGAGGCTGTTTTGTCTGATGCCTTTTAGTCTGAGGCTGATTTGCCTGATGCCTTTTTTTCTGAGGCTGTTTTGTCTGATGCCTAATTGTACGAGACCTGACACCTGACATTGTTTTTCCTGAGACCTGAAGCCTTTTAGTCTGAGGCATGATGCCTTGTCTTCATATGTCTGAGGTCCGAGGATGTCCTAAAATGTACACCGTACTGAGGTCGCTTTGTGTCTCTTAATCATTTTAAGCCAACGAGCTCTCACGACAGCCGGTGGCCCCCGGGAGAGTGGAAACTATAAAGCTTTCCAGCTGAGATGGTACCACTTTGGAGCCGCATTGGTAGACCTTTTCCCTGTCTGCACTCTTTGAGCAATTACTATGCTTTCAAGTTGTAGTACCACTCCCATGCTCCAGGGGGCTCTCCAGACGACTCCTCCTCGGGATGAAAGGAAGGGAGAAGTAGAGTTGGAGCTCGTTTGGTTGGAGAGAAGCATTTTCTCCTCTTGTGCTAACCGTAGAGTCTGGGTCGAGAAACTTGTTTTAAGCTCATCCAAGTAAGTTTTTTGTTAATTTTGTGGTGTTAACATTTGCATTTTGGTCTTATTTGGGTCATTTCATGTGATTATGTTTGGTGCCTGTATGTTTCTATTTAGAAGGACTTCTCGTACATCACTCATCCACTATGGTTATCTTCATTATTCTACTGGGTTGAGACATCGTCCATCTTATGCTGTACTGTTTCATATGGGGATTTTACTGAGTTATGCTAATATAATCATTGGATAAATTGAATCAACTGATAACAGGGATTGTTTGTTTGCACTTTCTTGTTTAACAAACCATCTTCTTCATATGACCCCCTATCTTGCCACATGGCATCATGACTTTTGCATAAACATACACGCCATTTTCAAGTCAAGTGGCGTGTTATCTATACGCATTTTGAGCAATCCGCATGTATGCGTGTATGTACACATGTAAACTCAATGTCTGAACTCTAGACAGGACGCAGAGGACTCAGGTGATCTACCACATGCTTTCATAGACACCATTGGCGTCCTCTTCAACTGTAAACCAATAATAATAATTATGCTGCCATCTTTCTGAAGTCATTTTTACACCCCTGTAATTTGGTTCCAAATCTCAGGAGAAAGTTATAATAGACAGACACTCTCTCTCTCTCTATAATATATATATATATATATATATATATATATATATGAAGCAGTGATCCACCTCTCAAATTTAATCAAAAATATCTTAATTTATGTTCCGAAGACGAACGAAGGTCTTACGAGGTTGGTACAGCATGGGGGTGAGTAATTAATGACTTAATTTTCCTTTTTGGGTGAACTAACCCTTTAAAGATGGAGTTTATTAAAGAGGAGATTAAAGACATGACTGATCCAGAACCATCCAGAATAAAACATGAAGATACTGAGGAACAAATAGGTTGGTGTCCATTCTTGATTCTTTATTCATTCATGATAAGTAGTTTCTTAATGGTAAATGATGTAGAAATTAATCTAAATTATTGTAATGTTGTATATAGCAATATGTCAAATAAATGTTAATTATTCAAATTAAGGACAATGATATAACAAACCTCTGGCATCAAAGATCTCATACTTTATTTTCACACAGACGGAAACCTTTTCTCTTGTTATTCACTTAAATTTTCCTTAAAATGATCCTCCTTAAGCTGATTATAACTACTTGATGTGTTCATTTTAGATCAGATGGTAAAAACAGAGCTACGAGAAGACCTGAATGAAGTAAAGAAACACTGCGACTTCAAAACTGAAGGAACAAAAGCCAAAAAGCTGCACTCCTGCTCACAGTGTGGAAAGAGTTACAGAGAAAAAGGAAACCTTAACAGACACATGAGAGATCACACTGGAGAGAAACCGTATCCATGCACTCAGTGTGAGAAGAGTTTCACATCTTCATCCTTTCTCAAGTATCATTTGAGTATTCACTCTGGAGAAAGACCATTTAACTGTGATCAGTGTGGTATAGGGTTTATTTTATCATCACAACTAAAACAACACCTGAAAGTTCATTCAGATGAGAAGCCTTATGTGTGTTCTCTCTGTGGAAAGAGTTTTTCATGGCTGGAAAGTTTTAAACGGCACCAGAAAACACATGATGAAGTGAGAGATCATGTGTGTTGTGACTGTGGGAAGAGCTTTACTACATCTGACAAACTGAAACGGCACCAAAGAATTCATACTGGAGGAAAACCTTACAAGTGCTCATACTGTGACAAGAGTTTCACTCATTCTGGAAACCTGAAATCACACAAGCGAGTTCACACTGGAGAGAAGCCGTACGCCTGTACTCAGTGTGAGAAGAGTTTCAAAAATTCAACAGGTTTGAGAAAACATCTGCGCATTCACTCTGGAGAAAAACCATTTAACTGTGATCAGTGTGGTAAAGATTTTATTACATCATCAAATCTAAAGAGACATCTGAAAGTTCATTCAGACGAGAAGCCTTATGTGTGTTCTCTCTGTGGAAAGAGTTTTTCACGACTGCAAGGTTTACAACAGCACAAGAAAACACATGATGATGTAAAAGATCATGTGTGTTGTGACTGTGGAAAGAGCTTTAATAGATCTAGTCATCTGAAACAGCACCAAAGAATTCATACTGGAGAAAAACCTTACAAGTGCTCATATTGTGACAAAAGTTTTGCTCAGTCTGGAAACCTGAAATATCATGAGCGAGTTCACACTGGAGAGAAGCCGTACGCCTGTACTCAGTGTGGGAAAAGTTTCAAAGATTCAGCAGGTTTGAGAAATCATCTGCGCATTCATTCTGGAGAAAAACCATTCAACTGTGATCAGTGTGGTAAAGATTTTATTTCATCATCAAATCTAACGAAACACCTGAAAGTTCATTCAGATGAGAAGCCTTATGTGTGTTCTCTCTGTGGAAAGAGTTTTTCACGACTGAACGGTTTACAACAGCACCAGAAAACACATGATGATGTAAAAGATCATGTGTGTTGTTACTGTGGAAAGAGCTTTAGTAGAGCTGGTGATCTGAAACTGCACCAAAGAATTCATACTGGAGAAAAACCTTACAAGTGCTCATACTGTGACAAAAGTTTCACTCAGTCTGGATCTCTGAAATCACATGAGCGAGTTCACACTGGAGAGAAGCCGTACGACTGTACTCAGTGTGAGAAGAGTTTCAGACGTTTATCAAACCTTCACACTCACATTAAAAACTGTTGCAAGTGATCAACATTCAATTCTAAATTAAATACATGCAGGTAAATTCTGCTAGATAAAATATTGAGATTGTCTTTATATATATATGTATATATGCAAAATATTTAATTAGATGTATGTCAACACATGTTTCCAACATCTAACCTTGTTGAACATGCTAACACCCTGAAACATCATGTATTAAAACCTTCTGTTCTGTGTTTTTGAATGTTGTAGGTTTATGTTGCCATACTCCTGTTGAATGTCAAAATAACAAATATGGGAAAATGAAACTAGTTTTGAAAACTTACAGTTTCCTATTGAATAAGAGTTTGCTAATGAAGAAGTAATCAAATTGTAGAGAAGTTATGTTATGCGTCATGTCATTTTGCCATATCCCTCTTCTATAAAAACTGTTGAATTCGTGTAAACTGGTGATTCTCAATGGAACTGCTCGTAAAGATCTCCCGGCCTTAATTAAAGCATTTAGAGCAATTACTATGGTTTCAAGTTGTAGTACCACTCCCATGCTCCAGGGGGCTCTTCAGACGACTCCTCCTCGGGATGAAAGGAAGGGAGAAGTAGAGTTGGAGCTCGTTTGGTTGGAGAGAAGCATTTTCTCCTCTTGTGCTAACCGTAGAGTCTGGGTCGAGAAACTTGTTTTAAGCTCATCCAAGTAAGTTTTTTGTTAATTTTGTGGTGTTAACATTTGCATTTTGGTCTTATTTGGGTCATTTCATGTGATTATGTTTGGTGCCTGTATGTTTCTATTTAGAAGGACTTCTCGTACATCACTCATCCACTATGGTTATCTTCATTATTCTACTGGGTTGCGACATCGTCCATCTTATGCTGTACTGTTTCATATGGGGATTTTACTGAGTTATGCTAATATAATTATTGGATAAATTGAATCAACTGATAACAGGGATGGCATCATGACTTTTGCGTAAACATACACGCCACTTTCAAGTCAAGTGGCGTGTAAATCTATATGCATTTTGAGCTATCTGCATGTATGTACACGCCGTTAAATGTCAGAGCGAAACGAAATAAGATGTAGATCTGCATCTGGGGAGCGATATTTTTTTTATCACTCATAAATGCCATTAACCCCAGTGACGGGTAGGTTTAGGGACGGGGTTGAGGTAAGTCATATATTTATATATACAGTAATGTAACGTTAAGTCAACGGCGTTCATAAACACGCTGAAGAGCGATTATGTGTGTTGATAGCACGGCAAAAATGGAAATACGAATTGCCGTGTCATACATACATCATTTCATTAGATCAGTCTGCATCTTCCTATGGCTGGGACGTATGAGCAATTTTGAGGGAGGGGGGGGGGGCAGGAAATGCTAGGGGGGTTCGGGGGAAATTCCTCGCTTTTTAAAATATTTTTAATGGATCATGGACAGCTGTCTTTCCTCAGTTAGGATTTCGTGCGATTTCTCATTGCCTGCTTCCATTTTGTAATATCATTTTCATTTCAATAATTCCAAACTTTGCGAGGCAGACAACTTACCTTACTTGTTGGCGCCAGTGAACATCCCCTTTTTCTCCCATAAAAACCTTGCTACTTGGGGTATTTATCATGTGCAGTGCCAAGAGAAAACTTTGAGTCAGTAAAATAATAATAAAAGCAATTTTTTAAAGATTTCAGATCTGGTCCTGTGGGCGTCAGTATCACACAGTGATCGCAGTTCACACCTGCAGTGAAGCCCCTCCCACAACAATTCACCAATAAATACTGGGAATATTCCCATCATCCTACAAGAGAAGGACAAACTCCAGGAGTAGCAGCTGAAATCTGTGTGACTGTTAAAGATGGAGTTTATTAAAGAGGAGATTGAAGACATGACTGATCCAGAACCATCCAGAATAAAACATGAAGATACTGAGGAACAAATAGGTTGGTGTCCATTCTTGATTCTTCATTGTTGATGCTTTAGTGGCTGTGAAATAAGTAGTATATTAATGGTAAATGATGTAGAAAAATTCATCCAAATTATTGTAATGTTGTATATAGCAATATGTCAAATAAATGTTAATTATTCAAATTAATGAGAATGATATAACAAACCTTTGACATCAAAGATCTGATACATTATTCTCACACAGACGGAAACCTTTTCTCTTGTTGTTCACTTGAATTTTCCTTAAAATGATCCTCCTTAAGCTGATTATAACTACTTGATGTGTTCATTTTAGATCAGATGGTAAAAACAGAGCTAAGAGAAGACCTGAATGAAGTAAAGAAACACTGCGACTTCAAAACTGAAGGAACAAAAGCCAAAAAGCTGCACTCCTGCTCACAGTGTGGAAAGAGTTTCAGACACAAAGGAAACCTTAACACACACATGAGAGTTCACACTGGAGAGAAACCGTATCCATGCACTCAGTGTGGAAAGAGTTTCACATCTTCATACCTACTCAAACTTCATCTGCGTTTTCACTCAGGAGAAAGACCATTTAACTGTGATCAGTGTGGAAAAGGGTTCATTTCATCAGCACATCTAAAATCACACCTGAAAGTTCATTCAGATGAGAGGCCTCATGTGTGTTCTCTCTGTGGAAAGAGTTTTCCAAGAATGAACAGTTTTAAACTGCACCAGAAAACACACACTGAAGTGAGAGATTATGTGTGTTGTGACTGTGGGAAGAGCTTTACTACAGCTGAGAATCTGAAACAGCACGAGAGAACTCATACTGGAGAAAAACCTTTCAAGTGCTCATACTGTGACCAGAGTTTCTCTCGGTCTGGAAACCTGAAATCACACGAGCAACTTCATACTGGAGTGAAGCTGTATCACTGTACTCAGTGTGGAAAAGCTTTTACTTTACCATCATATCTCAAAAAACACCTAAATGTTCATTCAGGTGTTAAGCCTCACTTGTGTTCTCTCTGTGGAAAGAGTTACAGGGAAAAAGGAAACCTTAACACACACATGAGAATTCACACTGGAGAGAAGCCGTATAACTGTACTCAGTGTGAGAAGAGTTTTAAACAATTATCAAGCCTTCATGCTCATATGAGAAACTGTTGCGAGTGACCAACATTTGATTTCATATCAACTACATTTAGATAAACTCCAGAAGATAAAATATGGAGGATCTAGGTTTTTTTTTTTTAATAATTGAAAGACTAGAAAACTTAAGTTCAAGCTTCAACAGTGCAAATCTTTTTTGTGTGCAACATCTCTCTGCATGGATTGTGTGCTTAGTAGGTCTATCTTGAATTCTTTATATCAATGTCACTCACTTATTTACAAAGTTTACTATATTGTCTTCTGATAGAACATGCAATTATGACAAATAAACAGAAAAAAACAGGTCTAATATACTGAAAACAAGTCTAATATACTTCCGGTCCAGCTCCAGTAAATACAGACCATTAAAGAAATAATGTGTTTTACATTTAATCATTTAGCAGACACTTTTATCAAAAGCGACTTACAACTGAGGAAAACAATAGCCCATTTTGAACACAGCCGGAGTCTACATTGGTTCCCTGTCTGCACTCTTCCCATGCTGTGTAATGGCCTTAGATCTGTTACTATGGTTTCAAGTTGTAGTACCACTCCCATGCTCCAGGGGGCTCTCCAGACGACTCCTCCTCGGGATGAAAGGCAGGGAGAAGTAGAGTTGGAGCTCCTTTGGTTGGAGAGGAGCATTTTCTCCTCTTGTGCTAACCGTAGAGTCTGGGTCGAGAAACTTGTTTTAAGCTCATCCAAGTAAGTTTTTTGTTAATTTTGTGGTGTTAACATTTGCATTTTGGTCTTATTTGGGTCATTTCATGTGATTATGTTTGGTGCCTGTATGTTTCTATTTTAGAAGGACTTCTCGTACATCACTCATCCACTATGGTTATCTTCATTATTCTACTGGGTTGAGACATCGTCCATCTTATGCTGTACTGTTTCATATGGGGATTTTACTGAGTTATGCTAATATAATCATTGGATAAATTGAATCAACTGATAACATGGATTGTTTGTTTGCACTTTCTTGTTTAACAAACCATCTTCTTCATATGACCCCCTATCTTACCACATGGCATCATGACTTTTGCATAAACATACACGCCACTTTCAAGTCAAGTGGCGTGTTATCTATACGCATTTTGAGCAATCCGCATGTATGCCTGTATGTACACATGTAAACTCCATGTCTGAACTCTAGACAGGACGCAGAGGACTCAGGTGATCTACCACATGCTTTCATAGACACCATTGGCGTCCTCTTCAACTGTAAACCAATAATAATAATTATGCTGCCATCTTTTTGAAGTCATTTTTACACCCCTGTAATTTGGTTCCAAATCTCATGAGAAAGTTATAATAGACACCCTCTATATATATATATATATATATGAAGCAGTGATCCACCTCTCAAATTTAATCAAAAATATCTTCATTTATGTTCCGAAGATGAACGAAGGTCTTACAGGGTTGGTACAGCATGGGAGTGAGTAATTAATGACTTAATTTTCCTTTTTGGGTGAACTAACCCTTTAAAGATGGAGTTTATTAAAGAGGAGATTGAAGACATGAGTGATCCAGAACCATCCAGAATAAAACATGAAGATACTGAGGAACAAATAGGTTGGTGTCCATTCCTGATTCTTTATTCATTCTTGATAAGTAGTATATTAATGGTAAATGATGTAGAAATTAATCTAAATTATTGTAATGTTGTATATAGCAATATGTCAAATAAATGGTAATTATTCAAATTAATGAGAATGATATAACAAACCGCTGACATCAAAGACCTCATACTTTATTTTCACACAGACGGAAACCTTTTCTCTTGTTGTTCACTTGAATTTTCCTTAAAATGATCCTCCTTAAACTGATTATAACTACTTGATGTGTTCATTTTAGATCAGATGGTAAAAACAGAGCTAAGAGAAGACCTGAATGAAGTAAAGAAACACCGTGACTTCAAAACTGAAGGAACAAAAGCCAAAAAGCT